CGGCCTAATATTTCAGCATTGAACTTTTGCTCATCCTGTGCCTTTTTCCGTCCTGTTTCAGTGTATCCTATCCAAAACGTATCTGTGCTTTAGGTTCAACCTTTATCCATATGCTGCATGGATATATATTTCAGCTTAAAAAAAATATCCCAGTATCAGTAGCCTATGCTTGTTATTCTAGCTACTCAAAGGCTGAAATCTGAAGATTGCTGTTTGAAGCCAGCCTGAGCAGGAAAGTCTGTAACTCTCTTATCTACTAATAATGACAAGAAAGCTGGAAGTGGAGCTATGGCTCAAGTGGTAGAATGCTAGCCTTGAGTAACAATATTCAGGGCTGTGTCCAGGCTTTTGAGTTCAAGCTCCAGTACCACCATGCTCAGCATGTGTGCACACATGTGCACACCTACATACATACAAATTCTTTATCATTTAACATTTATTACTCATTACTTTAGCATTATGTAACTTGTGTATGTGATTGTGTATGGTTATCCAACTTGATCACCAGCTTGAAGAAAGAGCAATGTTATACATGTTGTACCTTTTTTCAGTGGTGTGCTAATACATAATAATAGGTAGTAATAGTAATACATAGAAAATTAAGTCATTTTCATTGGTATACTTTTGTCAAATATGTTAGAAGGGTGGGTTTTAAAATCCAGTTTTATAATTGGTGCATCCTAATTTTCCATCTTGCTATTTTAGAGGCCTGTTAGATAATGAATGCTAAAGTCTGTGCCTGTTACCCAATGTTATCTGTCAACTCATGAGAGAATAAACTTGTTCAAGTCTATAAGTACTTAATACTGTGTTGTTAGATATGGAGAGAACTCTTTAACACTTGTTTGCTTGGATGTGCACAAAAGAGTAAGTTGAGGAAAACAAGAATTGCATCCATGTAAAGAAGAAATTTTAAGACTGGAACATCTTTATAAGATGAGCTTTTTAAAATTTTTTTATTTTTGTTTTTTGTCAGTCCTGGGGCCTGAACTCTGGGTCTGAGTGCTATCCCTCAGCTCATCAGCACTTCAGTTCACGGTTAACGCTTTCCCACCTGAGCCACTGGGCCACTTCCAGCTTTTTCTGCTTATGTGGTGCTGATGAATTGAACTCGGCCTCATGAATGCAAGGCAAGCACTCTACCACAGAGCTACCTTCCCAGCCCCTTTTTACTTATCTATTTTTTAATTTTTTTTTCTTGTTGGTTGTGGGGCTTGAACTCTGGGCTTGGGTGTTGTCCCTGTGTTCTTCAGCTCAAAGCAAGTGCTCTACCACTTGAACCACAGCACCACTTCTGGTTTTCTGAGTGGTTTATTGGAGATAAGAGTCTCAGGACTTTCCTGGCCAGGCTGGCTTTCAACAAGGATCCTCAGATCTCAGCCTCCTAGGTAGCTAGGATTACTGGCGTAAGCCACCAGCACCTGGCTATAAGATGATCTTTTTTAAAAGTGGAGCCTGGAATATGCATTGTTGGGAAAGCAAAAGAAGTAAACAGATTTCAGGGGCCTGTGGGTACTAGAACTTTTTGAGTTTGTGATTTTTTTAAAAATCTGTTTTGACTCTTAGAAGTCATTTTCTAAGGTCATTTCTTGGATTAGAAATGTAATTTCTTTCAAAGCATAATTAAAAGTAATAATTTAAAATTTTACTTTTTCATGTTCCCCAGGGTTTTTTTTCTTCTAAGTATAAAAGGGTGAATATTCTGTTTTCAGGTTGGGGTGGCAGTGAGGAAAAAGAAAAACCTATTTCCTTTTCTAGTGCTTTGGCTATATTTGTTGTCCTTAAATCATAAATGGAGAGGCATCTGTATCATGCATTGTGTCATGGCCAGCCTTTCTTTTTTCATTTGAATATAATTGTTCCTCAGCAAATAACTGTACTCTAGAATGGCTGTTTATTGAGCTTGATTGAATTAGGGGTATGTATGAAAATGAGTTAGTTAAAGCTTAATCTATTACCCAGAGAACTGATGAAAGCATCAGAAAAGTAATCATTCATGAGGATTCAAAAAGTAATCATTCATGAGGATTCTAACTAGGCACATGGTTCCTTCGAGCCCCTTTTGCACTGACTAGATAGTAGTGACATCTGACTAGACAGTGCACATTTGGAATAGAAGGGAATTTTGTCATGATATGCCTTTGAATGCTATAGAAGACATTAATAGTAATAGTGACTCAGCCTCATTGTAAAAAATGACACCTTACCTTTTTTTAGTATAATAGAAATTTTCCAAATGTAGCATCCCAAGGAAGAACTATGCCAGAAAGCCAATTGCTTGGGGATACTTCAGTAGTTGCTTAGGCTGCATATTTACAATAGGTTTTTTAGGTGCCAAGTCAGATACCTGATTTGTGGTAAGAAGCAAATAATAGCTGGCAACATTTCTCAGGGAGAATCATGAGCTGTGCTGGGTCTCAGCTGGCCAACACTGGGGAATGCAGTGCCATGGGTGAAAAGCAGGCCTTGCTAAGGGAAAGGGAAGTGCTTAATGAGGCAATGGGAGCTAATATGGGGAGTTGGGATTTCAAGGCTTTATAGGGTGAGTGGGGATTGAGAGGAAGCCAAAGGGGGAATCTAGAGAACATGAGTCAGTGGTTCAGATGATTCTGCCTGGCTTTGGTCTGAGGGCACATGAAGGGCATCATTGTTTTCACACTTTGGGCATTTACCACATGGCCTTCTAATTTCTACCCAGCAACCCACCTTTCTCAAGTCAAACTCTTCTTGAAATACTTGTAATTTAAATACAGTACAGCTTATGCTGAAACTGCCTTTCAGAAGTTACTCATGTAGATATTTTTAATAAATAGCCAGATAAAATCTGGAGTCTCTTAAGTTCTTAAGTTTGCTTGTCAGAGAAGTCAAAGAGAATGACTCAGGCAGGCCCTTCAGCATGGGAATTGACTTCTGTGATTGCACTGGGTAGTTTCTTAAGTTTATTGTATCTTTATTTTCTTAGAAGAATTTCAGTATCTATATTGGCTACAATATAGTCAATTCCTCTCCTCCACCACTCATAGTTACCTAGTTACATCACAGTTAAGTTATTGCACAGTAAGGAAAATGAGGTGATTCTGATATACATTCCATTATAGAAATAATTCCCTAAGGACATCTAATGATTAGTAAAAATATCTTGGAGCTAGTGAAGGAACTCATGTAGGATGAAATAGCATATTTGATTTCTCAGATAGCATATGATCACTCCTTAGACTAAAGAGTAAACAGATTTTTAAACCAAAATAAGAATTAATCTTACATTGTCAAAATTAGTGGTGGGCCCTACTTTCCCAATGTTAGTTGTACAATTGTATTTATCTTTTTAATGTATAGTGATTTATTTATTTGACAGTTATTTACTGATTTTTCTACATTTACAATATTTTAGTGGTTCTCTACATACTTGCTTTTGTGAATTTCTATGAAGAAAAAGTTTGGATATGAAAGTTTTTTAAGATTTTTAAAAAATGTTTTCTAATGTTAGTCTATTTTATTAGTCTATTTTATTATAATTCTAAGTAGATATATTACTAGTTTTAGAGATTGCATGCTTCAAAAATATTGTAAAAATACAAGAATTTATAATTTAAAGGTATTCATATATTCTTTGTAGTTATCTTCAAAAATCTGTTTTTTCTTGCATACTCTTTATTTTCAGAAATCGAAGGACCAGTGAGTTATATCTTGCATAAAATATTATGAGACTATTTAATATTTTATTCTTTCATGTTATTGTTTTCATATATAGTAGTGAGCAAAAGCAGAATCATTCATTTCCAGGTAGAAATATTCAAACTATTATTAGAGGTTCTGATGTTTAACATGAAAAGCTGATTTATTTATATGATATTGGCTGATTGAGGGCAGGGAGTCCAACTTCAGCCAAGCCATTATATGACTAGTACTGTTGAATAAATCACTGATAAACTAGTGCTAATTAATTTCTACAGTGGTAATTCTACAAGGATACCTACTTTTTCTAAAAAATTATAAGAAAATATATCATAGTATGTTACAGGCAGGAACTATGTCATCATTTGTTTGAGTGTAGATTTAGTCATTTTTTTTTGGGGGGGGGTCCGGTTGTGGGGCCTGAACTCTGGGCCTGGGTGCTGTCCCTCAGCTCTTGGGCTAGCGCTCTACCACTTGAGCCACAGTGCCACTTCTGGCTTTTTTCTTTTTGCTTATGTGGTGCTGAGGAATCGAACCCAAAGCCTCATGCATGCAAGGCAAGTGTTCCACCACTGAGCCACCTTCCCAGCCCTAGTCTTATTTTTGAGGCAATAGAAAGTAGATATGTCTCAAAAAGAAACAGAAATGTACAACTTTTTATTTCTTAAAGATAATGCAATTTAGGAATATTTTTCAGTATTACTGACATTTTATCTGTATGAAAAAATTTGTATGACTTTTATTCCTATATCTTATTATTTATACTTAGAAAATAATGTTTATTTGTTATTTATTGTTAATAGTTTGTGTTCCTCATCTTGTTTCCCCATTTTTCTTATTTGTTTTATATTTACTTCATTTGTTGCCTTTCTAGTTCTTTTGGATAGGGTCTTATATTTTTGCTTTTGCCCAGGGTAGCCTCAGACCGGCCACTATTACCAATGTTAATTTATAGGGTTGAGTTGGATCAGACATTGAATTTAGTCAGGATGTCAATTCCATTCAGTATTTTCTCAGAGCATTTGCCTGTAATTCTATATTTGATTTTAGCCAAAAGGCCAAGGAATGATTACATATAAAACTTAGTCAAGGGACTCTTAATCTCAGAAATTTGCATTGGATAATTGTGGAACTTTTTGTTAAATTAATTATATGTACTTTAAGACATTTTTTTTTCTGAGCAGTGTTAGTGTTAACGTTTGATTATTTGGTTGATACTTTATTTTATTGAGGATTATTTTACAAAAAGAGAATGAGTGTCAGCTTTGTTTGAAAGACCTTCGTGGTTCCCCATTTTAACTACGTGCCTATGGTTTTTTTCACAGAATTCTGCTGCATCACAAGAGCTGGAAGTTCTGATGTTCCATTGAAATCACAATGGAAAGTCTTGACTTGACTGGTAAGAGTTGTTATGAAGGTGCATCTTACTTATTGACCTGGAAGTGGAGAGCTGTCAGAGCTAGTCTCAGCCATTTCCCAGCTGATGGACTCCCTTTCCATATTGACCGGGAAGTGTGACACTTGTACTTTTTTATTCTGTCAGTTTTATTATTTTTTAAAAAGTTACATTTTGATCTTCATCATCAAGTAAGTTAAATCTTATAATATCATAATTTTTTTAGTATTTGTTTCTTCACACTAGTGTATTATTAGAGAAAGTCAGTTTATTAAAGGCTTGTATATTTAGAGGTTAAATACCTAAAAATTGGTTTTCACCAGAACTGGTTAACTTTGGTTGAAAAATTAATCAGTATTAAAATATTGGGGAATTTTTCTTACCCACTAAAAATACTAGATATGTATATCATGAAGCCACTTAAAAGTGGGAAAACTTTGTAAACGACATATGTACAACAAATTATCAGAGTCTGAAACTTACATCCTTTTTTACAAATTATTTTCAAAGCTGTTGATCTAGGAAGAGTTCTTTATCTGTTTTGAAAGGTTAGTTTTAGTAATGGTTACTCAGATGCATTGGGTTTTCCCAATCTAGGAATAAAAGGTGTTTTAGTTTGCTGCTTTGTGCATACTGATGTATGGTGAATAGTGATTTATAAGACTGAAATATTTGGTGTGAATTAAGATAATATTTTTTATTGTAGTTATTAGCTTTCCAGTTGAAAATGAACTTGAAGTCCTTCTGTTTTAAAGTATTCTTACTTGTTTTAATCTAATTTATGCTTTTATTTGCTTTTTTGTTTTTTTGGGTCTGGTCATGGGGCCTGAACTCTGGGCCTGGGCACTGTCCCTCAGCTCTTCAGCTCAAGGCTAGCGCTCTACCACTTGAGCCACAGCGCCACTTCCGGCTTTTTTCTTTTTGCTTATGTGGTGCTGAGGAATCGAACCCAGGGCGTCAGGCATGCAAGGCAAGCGCTTTACCACTGAGCCAACTCACCAGCCTTCTAATTTATGCTTTTAGTAAACGTGTTGCTTTTTGTCTGATGTAAGCATTAAGACCTGAAACTATTCTTCTGAATGTCATTGTCTAAGACTGTACACATAGTAAAAATACATGCAATTTGGTTGAATATAGGAACAGTATATGTTTACTTTTTTGATTGGTTGGGTGTCTTAACTTGGGGGACCTTGTGCCTTCTAGGCAGGTGCTATATACCATTTGAGCTGCTATATACCACTTGAGCTGCTATAGGATGTTTCATTTTTTGTGCTGGTGCTGGTACTGGTGCTGGTGCTTGAAGTCAGGGTCTGGGTGCTGGCCCTGAGCTTTCTTGCTAAAGTTTAGTTCCCTATCACTTGAGCCACATCTCTGTTTTCAGCTTTTGGTGGTTAATTGGAGTTGAGACTCATAGAATTTATTGCCTGTGCTGGCTTTGAACCACAGTTCTCAGATCTCAGCCTCTGGTGTCCAGCTGCTGTAGAATATTTACACATAACAAAATCTTATGTCAAAACTAGGATTTTGTCAATGGTTTTCCTGTTTGTTGTACATTTAGTGCATACTTATTAGAAATACAAATTCTGGATTTAAAAATTTCAATGAGTATCAGATATAGAGGTTTTCACTTGTAATACTAGCTACTTGGGAGATGATCAATGATCAAGGTTGTAGGCCAGTCTGGGCAAAAAGTTTGAGATCATCATCTCAAACAACAATAGTTTATTGTGGTAGTGCACATCTGTCATCCCAGCTGGAATAAGTGGAAGGATCACAGTCCCGTCTTGGCATACATATGAGACTCCCTCCCAAAATTAAAGCAGACGCTGTTGAGAGTGTGGCTGAAGGGGTAGAGCATCTGCATGACAAGTGCAAGGCTCTGAGTTCAAACTCTGATATTACTGGGTAAAAAGGAAAAGAATAACAGTGAGAATATAATTAATTTTGGTTATACTATGTATAATAGACTGTGGAATATTTAAACATTAGTACTGAAATATAATCGATGTTCTTTTTTATAATGGATGTTTTGATTGCCTTCCAAAAGGTAGCTGAGTGTAGTGAATCTTAAAATTAATTAATTAAACAAATTCAGAATACTACCACACAGACTACTACTGCCTAAAGACTTGACTAGTCATTTGGTTTATGATTTCTGAATATTGATCCAGTTACTGCAATAAAATGCATTTTGACTGAAATTCAAAGCTCTGACAAAATTTAAGATGAAAGCTTAATTGAAGATTGTTAAGACTGCATACTTCTGGTTTATATATACATATATATTTATTACATATCTATGTGTTTACCTTAGAAACAGTATTAAAAAAAGTATTCATGTATAACCAAGAGTAATTTAGGGACTAAATCCTGGAAAATGATAGTCAGCAAAAAGTTGCCAGGGTTCAGTAAATCTGGGAAACAAATTTCATAAAAGTAAGTTTAAGAAAAGTTACATTTCATTTTCCAAAGAATCCTTTATTTTAGTGGGACATCACATTAAAAGTTACCCTCATTTTTGTTCATTTGCCCAGTAAGTCTGCTGTTATTGTGCTCATCCTCTTTATTCCTGGAGCAAAACTGAAGGATATACAGATGTGGGGTAGAATCATGGCTTTTAAAACAACTGTTTGGACTTGACCTGTGTGTCAAACCTTGTATATTTCATTATATAGAAAAGGCCACTTGACCAGCCTGTGTCTTAGGCTGATTGGGGTGTAGGAAGGCTGATACAAGGGACAAGTATGCATTTTAACTACAATTCCTGCAGAATATCATCTCCAGGTTTTTTTTTGTTGTTGTTTTTGTTTTTTGTTTTTAGAAAGACAATGTACAACATATACTAAAATTCCTAGTAGTAATACAGTAAAGGAATCTGTTTAATAAATAACTTACCTAATCATGAATCCTTTTTTTTTTTGTAGTGTATAATCTGTGGCCTAATTTTAAAGCATGAAAGTTAACACAATTATGCCTGTTGAGGCATGAACTTTAGAACTTTTTCTCATCAAGTTTCTTATATATATATATATATATATATATATATATATATATGTGTGTGTGTGTATATATACATATACTAAATATACTATGTACTATATATACTATACATATACTAGTATATATGCAATAGACATATTATTAGTAGATAATTTTAAAATGAATGAAAATTATTTCATACTGGACTTTATACAGTGTACATCCAGAGTTATAAAACTGAATATATTCATATTTCTTACCTATGTGTAACAGGTTACAGAACTTTAACAGATATTATCTAATTTGATTTAAGAAGAGAATGTGGAAAGCTAGGTGCTGGTGGTTCACACCTGCAATCCTAGCTACTCAGGAGGCTAAGATCTGAGGATCCTTGTTCAAAGCCAGTCTGGGCAGGAAAGTCCATGAGACTCTTATTTCCAATAAATCACTCAGAAAACCGGAAGTGGTGCTGTGGCTCAAGTGGTAGAGCACTAGCCTTAAGCTGAAGAGCTGAGGGATAGTGCCTAGGTCCAGAGTTCAAGCCCCATGATCAACAAAAACCAAAACCAAAACCAAAAGCAACAAGAAGAGAACGTGGAAATGAGTACTTTGCTTTTTCTGGTAGAAATAGGGTAATACTTTTACCAGATATTATGATAGCCAAATGCTTTTGTGTATTTGTTTAATTTCAGGAATCATTCTAGCAGTAAAAAATGGAGACACTGGGCTGGAATGTGGCTCAGTGGTAAAGTGCTTGCCTAGCATGGATGAAGCCCTGGGTTTGAATCCTCAGTACCACATACACAGAAAAAGCCGAAGGGGCACTGTGGCTCCAGTGGTAGAGTGCTAGTCTTGAGCACAGACAAGCTCAGGGACAGTGTCCAGGCCCTAAATTCAAGCCTCAAGACTGGCAAAATAAAATGGGAGACACCATAGAGAGCCTAATTGTGTCTCAGAAGTTTCTGAGCTATTCCACCTTAAATCATATTCAGTGTATACTAAATTGCGTTATTATCCTGTCTTGCTGAAAGTGCTTGGTACATAGAACTCTTCAGCCAATATTGATTCAGTTAATCCACAGGTGTTAAAATAATTACTACTACACCTGTGTGGATTAAAATGATATAGGTATCTAGAAGTATAATATGTATAGTACTGTGCTTGATACAAATTTCTTTTTTTCCTTTTCCTTTTTCTTTTTGTCGGTAGTGGAGCTTGAACTCTGGGCCTGGGTGCTGTCCCTGAGTTTTTCAGCTCAAGGCTAGCTTTTTACCACTTCTACAGCGCCACTTTCCTGCTTCAGCTGACAATCCTCAGATTTCAAACTCCTGAGTAGCTAGGATGACAGCCATGATGCCTGGCTGTAGTTTCTTAAGATTGAAAGAAAGGAACATGGGTAGATAGCTTTGCTCTTTTTTTTTTTTTGTTGTTGTTGTTGTTGATTTCATAAATATTGTTAAACGTTAGAAGCCAAGGTCTTTCAGCAGAACATGGGTTTTGGATTCAGAGAAAGAAATCCTAGCTTTGACACATTTAATTGAAAGAATGTATGTGATTATTTGACCTCTGTAAATCATTGTTTTAGTATATGGAAAATGATCATTACCTTGTAAGCTTGAGAATTAAATGAGATCATTGTGTTCAGTGACAGAGAATGTTTGGCACAGGGAAGTACTCAAGAAATAGTAGTTTGAAAGCTTTAATCACAAGGAAATGGCAAATATTTAAGGTGTTTGAGAAGCTTAGCCTGAATGAACATTATACAGTATATCAAAAACATAATAAATAAGTATACTTTTTTGTGTCAACTAAGAAATAAAAATAACTGACTGGTACTCTGGTATATCTGAAAGTGGTTGTGTTTTTATACTTAATATGCACATATTCTAAGACTTTAGACATGCATAAGAACTTATGCATTCTTTTATAGTTTTTCTGAAGATTGAAAATGGCTTTTCCTTACCTCTAAAGGGATTAATCCTATAAAGATATTATCTACTCTGTGAACTAATAATGTATTTCTT